TTATCCTGGGGCACACAGTTCTGTCTGGGAAAGTGAGCGGTGCGCCCAGCAAGTCTCTGGGCCAGAGGCTGAGTGCTCTGCTCTGGGCCTAGAGAATGTGCAGCTAGGTTGAGTTAGCACCTGTGTGCACTGCTCTGGTCTGGAGGCTGAGTGCCTCACTCTGGACCAGAAGCTATGTGTCCCTGTCTGAGATGGCGGGTGCAGGCACTGCTCTGGTCCAGAGGCTTGGGTGCAGCCCTCTTGAAGGACAAGGGATTCCCACAGTTTTGTCAGTGTAGCTAGGGATAACTGTTTGATCCTTGGCACAATATCTGAGGGCTGCTGTAATGGCTGTCTGGCTTTTGTATGTCTGAGGATGCAGCTGTGTGTCCCATTGCCCTAGTGGAACTCAATAATGGCGGCTGAGCACAGTGCTCCTGCCTGCATTAGAAAGCTAGAGCCTAGAGTCTGCGTGAATCCAGAATGTCTTTGGTGCTGGGTGTCCTGAGTGTTAGACCTGATGATCCCCTCTGCTGGGGGTTTCCTCCTGCCAGAGACACCCAGTCTTTGCTTTGGGGACCACTGTTCTGTCTGGGGTGGCGAGTTGAACCCACAGGCACAGATGCCTGCCTGTGGCTCTGCCTTTCTGGCCGTTGGGAGCCTGAGGGTTTGCTTAAACTGGATAATTTTCCGGAGACCTTTTCGGGGTGGAGGTGTTGGCTGAGTGCTCTGAGATCAGACCAGCTGTTTTTCTCCCTGTGGGTTTGCACCTGACCGTGAAACGCAGTCCACTGGTGCTCTGGTGCCCTGGTGCCCTGGGGCCCACAGTTCTATCTTAGGCGGCAAATCAGGCTCGCAGGCAGGGCTCTGTGCTGGAGCCTGGGTCCCCGGCTCTGGCTCCTGGCTGGCTCCTGGAGCACCTGAGGAACCCGAGTCTTTTCCAGGGGATGTCTGGGTGACCTAAGGTCGGTCCCAATCATTTCCTGCTCCATGGGGTTATTTCTCAACTGGAAAATCCAGTCTGTGATGTTCTGGGCCCACAGTTCAATCTGAGACAGTGACCAGATCACGCTGGCATGTAGCTCTGGGCTGGCGACCAAGTGCCTGGCGGAAACAGGATCTCTTCCGTGGTTTAGCAGGGTGAGTTAAAGCTGATTGAATACCCCACTGTGGGGCATCCTCTCACCTGTGAAACACAATCACTTGTGTTTTATTGCTGCGAGTTCTGATTGGTGGTCACTGTGCCTATCCTGCTGTGCAGCTGCTCAGAATGAGAGTCCTCCCGGGGCCGCCATCTTGCCCCGCCCTCCCTATATTTCCTTTTTATTAATTTCTTTTTTAGTAATTACAATTTATTCACTTTGTATCCCAGCTGTAGCCCCTTCTCTCATCCCCACCCAATCCCACCCCCTTTCCCTCTTTTCCTGCCTTGTCCCTCTCCCAGTCCACTAAGAGCTGAGGTCTTTTTCCCCTTCCATCTGATCCCAGCCTATCAGGACCAGCTGCATTGTCTTCTGTGGCCTGGTAAAGAGGCTCTCCCCCTCAGTGGGAGGTGATCAAAGAGCCAGCTACTGAGTTCATGTCAGAGACAATCTCTGTTCCAATTACTAGGAAAACATTTGGACACTGAGCTTCTATGGGCTACATCTGTGCAGGAGTTCTAGGTTATCTCCTTGTGTGGGCCTTGGTTGGAGTTTCAGTCTCAGAAAAGCCCCCTGTGCCCACATTTTTTTTTTTTTTGGTTCTGTTGTCCTCTCCAAATCTTTCTATCTCTCCCTTTTTTCATAAGATTCCCTGCACTCTGCCCAAAGTTTGGCTATGAGTCTCAGCATCTGCTTTCATACCTTGCTGGGTAGAGTCTTTCAGAGGCCCTCTGTGGTAGGTTCAATGTCCTTAGTAATCAGGGAAATGCAAATCAAAACGATCCTGAGATTTCACCTTACATCCATCAAAATGGCTAAGATAAAAAACTCAAGTGACAATGCATGCTGGAGAGGATGTGAAGAAAGGAGAACACTGCTCCATTGCTAATGAGAAGGTAAACTTGCACAACCACTTTGTATATCAATATAGGAATAGTGCTACCTTGTCCTTAGCCATCAGGGAGATGCAAATCAAAATGACACTGAGATTTCACCTTACACCCATCAGAATGGCTAAGATCAAAAGCTCCCGAGACAACACATGCTGGAGAAGTTGTGGAGAAAGGGGAACCCTCCTCCATTGCTGGTGGGAATCCAAACTTGTACAACCACTTCAGAAATCATTCTGACACTTTCTCAGACAATTAGGAATAGTTATTCCTCAAGATCAAGCTATATCACTACTAGGCATACATCCAAAAGAAGCTCAAGTCCACAACAAGGAGATTTGCTCAAGCATGTTTGTAGCAGCTTTATTTGTAATAGCCAGAACCTGGAAACAACCCAGATGTCCATCAACGGAGGAATGGATACAGAAATTGTGGTAATTTTACACAATGGAATACTACTCAGCAATTAAGAAGAAGAAAATCATGAAATTTGCAAGCAAAGGGTGGGAACTAGAAAAGATCATCCTGGATGAGGTATCCCAAAAGCAGAGAGACACACATGGTATATACTCACTTATAAGTGGATAGTAGACATACAATATAGGGTCATCATACTAAAATCTGTACACCTAAAGAAGCTAAGCAAGAAGGAGAACCCTGGGTAAGATAATCAATCCTTATTCAGAAAGGCAAACAGAATGGACATTGCAAGAGGGAGAAAACATAATTTCTATATTTCAGAAGTATTAAAATGATATTAAATCATAAATTTATTTATAATTTATAAATAAAAATGTATAAAAATTTAAAAGTTAAGAACTTGATTTTTTTTCAAATAAATAAACAGCAAATAAATTGACAAATTTGTTTATTATTGATTAAGCTGTTTGGTCATAGATATTTCACTGTTTCTGAATAAAAATGGTCATTTCATTAACACTTAGCACACTTCAAGAAATGCAATTAATGACTGATGAGTAACTGGGGCAGAGTGTACTGAAAATATGGGAATGTTTACTTTCTGAAGAGAGCAAACTACTTTGATGCATGTATTTCTTATTATATGAGTCAGAATTTCTTTAAAAAAAAATCTCAGGCAGCGTTTTGAAACGAACAAGAACCAATAATTTGCTGCTCAGTCAAACCATCTTCTCCAGTTTCTCTCAGCCTTCCCTTCTGGACCACAAATGACTCACTGATATTAGTCCACAGCCTCTATAAGAAATATATTTCGCTGCCTGCCTTCAACTTAATTTTCATGGCAGTTTTTTTGTTACTTTCTTGTCTACTTCGTTTGTATCCATGTAACTTAAACATTTGTCACAAGAGCAATAGCTGCTCGGTCCATAAGTAACCTTTCTTTGTGTTACTTTCATAAAGCTCTGAAACATGCTGTTTTGATTCCTGAAATGTCATAAACCACCAGATTGCTAATTGCTTTGATGCTGTGAAAAATAATTACTCCACATTATTTTTGATATTTAATTGACAGTGTAATGCATTTAACTAAAGACCTGCAATAAACTATTTCTAATTACTGGGGGTGGTGGAGTGGAAAAGTAGGCTGTAAAACTTTACAAGGGAACATAATGTTTCTCCATTATGTTCAAAGTCCTTGTTGATATGACTTTCAGAGACACAAAATTCAAATGAAAAGCTCTGAAAAGCTAGGAAGAGCTTTGGAGCATTTTAGTCCCAATGAAATAGGTCTTTATTTTAGAATTATTGTCTTTAATAGGTTGAGCTTTTGATGAAAATCAGCTACTAAGTTCACTATATTTTTTCTAAAATTTTTCTTCTCTACTCAACCTTTAAAAGAAAGATAATGATGGCACTAAGATGATGGTTAGTCTATCACCGATGTTAACTCCACATATTCTGTTTGTGTGAGATGTTTTGCTGAAACCTGTGCAAATTTTATTTGACGTTGCTATATGTCATACATATCACAATGGCTATTTGGTTTATAATGAACTATATAAGTATTGTATATTAAATATAATAATGGACTATATAGATATAGATATATGGATTTATGAGATGACATAGAAAATTAAATTGTCCCTGTTGCCCAGTGATGAAATAGATGTCTTGACATCATTTGTAGTACGTTCCTCATATTAAAAAATATATGACATATATAATCTAGTAGTGCTACCTCCAACAAATCTAAGATGCTTCCACCCATAAAAGCACACTACACATTTAATTATATACAGTTTGTGGTGCAGAACAATGATCGTTAGTCGCTATTATATTTATAAGTATACAAAATCTTTTAGAGAATATATACATACATAAGTATATATATATATATGTGTGTAGATGTATAATTGGCTATGAAACAGTACATACTATAGATAGATAGATAGATAGATAGATAGATAGATAGATAGATAGATA